GGAGAAACTACCATTCGAAAACAGCAGAAAGGGGCCGGGCGTAGTGGCTCATGCCTGTAATCCCAGCACTTTGGGAGGCTAAGGCCCATGGATCACAAGGTCAAGAGATTGAGACCATCCTGGCCAACATGGTGAAATCCCATCTCTACTAAAAATACAAAAATTAGCTGGGTGTGGTGGTGTGTACTTTAGTCCCAGCTACTCAGGAGGTTGAGGCAGGAGAATTGCTTGAACTCAGGGGGCAGAGGTTGTAGTGAGCTGAGACTGCACTACTGCACTCCAGCCTGGTGGCAGAGCGAGACTCTGTCTCAAAAAAAAAAAACAGTGGAAAGGAGGAGGACTTCCCTGACCACCAGTCTAGAGGATGGCATACCCCCTCCCCACCAATCACTACCACTACCTTTATTTCTGAGATGGAGTCTCGCTCTGTGGGCCAGGGTGGAGTGCAGTGGCGATCTCTTTTATCCAGGGTGACAGAGTGAGACTCCATCTCAAACAAAACAAAACAAAAAACAAAAAAAGCAAGGGTATAGAGAGGTAGTCAGGCAATACACAGGCAGCCCAGACAACAGGTATTCACAACCAGAGGCTGATGCATTTAAAAGCTGTTTCCTGAATGAGGCTATAATAAGAAAGGTAGATGTCCTTAGATCACATGTTCCCAGCTTCAGAAGGGCCCTAGCCACATTATCCCGAAGTTCACTTTCGTTATCTAAAGTGCTTGCTCACTCCAGGGCTCAGTGGAAGCTTGATGCAGAAGATACTTTTTGTTTCAGTTCTTTGAAAAATATTTGTCAGAAGCCATCACTCCCTAGGGGATTGAACAATCCAAATTACTTCCCCTTTTCAGGGAATATTAGTATTTTCTAGATATAAATTGCATTTTTCTTTTGAGACGGAATCTCACTCTGTCGCCTAGGCTCATGTGTAGTGGTGCGATCTCGGCTCACTGCAACCTCCACCTCTGGGGTCCAAGCGTTTCTCCTGCCTCAACCCCGAGTAGCTGGGATTACAGGGGTGTGCCACCATGCCCTGCTAAATTTTGTATTTTTGGTAGAGACGGGGTTTCACCATGTTGGCCAGGTTGGTCTCAAACTCCTGACCTCAAAAGTGATCCGCTCGCCTTGGCATCTCAAAATGCTGGGATTACAAGTATGAGCTACTACACTCGGCTGATGTGAATTGAGTATTAAACTTATTTTGAAAAGCCCTAACAGCATGTGCCTGTTTTGCTGAGCCCCAGGGCCAAGTGTGCAGTTTGAGATACTGAGAGAGAAGTGGGGGAAAATCAGGACCTTGGGTGAATGGCTAAGGGAATTGAGGCTCTGTAATCTGGGAAACTTGAGTGGGGAGGCTCTCCAAATTCCTAAAGGAGAGTGACCTGCAGGAGAGATAAGACATCCTCCATCCAGGTGACTGGGATTAAATCACCAAGATTTCATTCTTAGAAGAAACTTCTTGTGCTTAGCCCATGGCACCGTTTTAAATAGCTAGATGATTCTACATTAGTGGCCACTATATAAGTGCCCACTATATTAGTTCAGGTAGGTTCTGAGCAGACCTGAGTGACCCTGAGGCAAAACAGACTTGAATTCAAATTCTAGCTCCATATTTATATGGGCCATATAAGTTCAGGCAAGTATCTTTTTTTTTTTTTTGAGACGGAGTTTCGCTCTTGTTACCCAGGCTGGAGTGCAATGGCGCGATCTCGGCTCACCGCAACCTCCGCCTCCTGGGTTCACGCATTTCTCCTGCCTCAGCTTCCTGAGTAGCTGGGATTACAGGCACACGCCACCATGCCCAGCTAATTTTTTGTATTTTCAGTAGAGACGAGGTTTCACCATGTTGACCAGGATGGTCTCGATCTCTTGACCTCGTGATCCACCCGCCTCGGCCTCCCAAAGTGCTGGGATTACAGGCGCGAGCCACCGCGCCCGGCCCAGGCAAGTATCTTAATACCTACTTTTTTTTTTTTTGAGACAAGGTTTCATGATGTTAGCCAGGCTGGTCTTGAACTCCTGACCTTGGGTAATCCACCTGCCTCCGCCTCCCAAAGTGCTGGGATTACAGGTGTGAGCCACCGTGGTGCCTGGCCCCTTAAAAAAAAAAAAAGGGGGTCTCATTCTGTCACCCAGGTTGGAGTGCAGTGGCCCAATCACAGCTCACTGTAGCCTCAAACTCCTGGGCTTAAGTGATCCTCCAGCCTTAGACTTGGAGTAGCTGGGATTACAGGCACAAGCCACAGCCCACTCAGTTTCTTTACCTAGGGCATCTCACTTTCATGTGTGTGTATACAAAAATTAAGAGATTGGGGCTGGGCATGGTGGCTCATGCCTGTAATCCTAGCACTTTGGGAGGCTGAGGCAGGCAGATCACAAAGTCAGGACATCGAGACCATCCTGGCCAACATGGTGAAACCCCGTCTCTGCTAAAAAATACAAAAAATTGCTTGGGCATAGTGGTACACGCTTGTAGTTCCAGCTACTCAGGAGGCTGAGGCAGGGGAATCGCTTGAACCTGGGAGACAGAGGTTGTAGTGAGCCGAGATTGTGCCACTGCACTCCAGCCTGGTGACAGAATAAGACTCTGCCTAAACAAAGAAAAAAAAAAAAAAAAAAAAAAAACACCAAAAAGAGATTGAATATAGCACAGACCCAGGCACACTCAGCCAAACTTGGTTTCCCACTGTTGCAGACCTTGAAGTTTGGTCTGCGGTTAGTGTACTGTCATTTCAGTATGGCAGAAATGTATTAACAGCTAGTTTAAGCAAAAGGGGGAATTTATTAGCTTACGTAATAGGGAAGTCTAGAGGTGGTCCTGGTTTCAGACATGATTGGAGCTACCATCTCATATAGCTGCTTCTCTGTGCTGGGTTCACACTGCAGTCATGTTCTTTCCTCAGAGAGAGGGGGAGGACAAAGTTGCCAGTTCCTCAAGGTTACATTCTGGCCACTTAGCAACTCCAAAGCTTAACTGTTGATCCCAGGGAAGACTGGCCTAGTGTGGGATGCAAAGGCCCCCTTCACCCTGAGTTGAATGGGATACAGAATGGAGTTGGTGAAAGGGACAGGGGTGCAGCGTGCACAGAACTCACAGTTGGCTACTAGAGGGAGAGTGAAAAATGTAAGGCAAAGAAACTAGTGACTGCTTTGTCTTCAAGCCTGGCCCCAAGCCCTGATGGATCAAACATCAAGAACCCTGTTTCTGCTTAAAAAAACAAAAACAAAAACAATTTTATTTGACAAAAGACAAAAAAGTTATTTACAGTAGTTTTTGCTCAAATAATCCAATGGGACAACTGTGCTTCTCCTCCAGCTTTATCTTACAACCAAACCCAAGCAGAGTCTGCCCTACCCCAACACCCCATTTTACACAAGGGGGGAATGCCAACCAGAATTCAGCAGCATGGCTCCCTCACCCCTCACCACCCTCCATTGCTCAGTGCACTGTGGGGAGGGAAAATCCCCCTTCAGCCCAATATACTTCCAAAGTTCTCTACTACAGAAATCCTGCAACAGTTGCATCAGACCTGGGCTCACTGACAGGGCTGGAATGGAAGAGGCTGGGCAAATGGTAGCTTCAGTTAACCTGGAGGCAGCCATGTTCATTCTTTACCACTGGGCCTCAGGAGGGTGAGGATCCCTGATCCCCCTGGGGCACACGGGGAGAGGACAAGGGAGAAAGAAGCCAAAAGGAGGCAACACAGAGAGCCCAGGAAACTTGCCCACCTGGAAAGAGCAAAACTCCCTCTCCTTAAGCAATCCATTCCCACTCCCTCAGCAAGAGATGGGTGACTCAGAAGTTGGTGAGCCTCTGTGATGGCTTCAGGGATCGTCCCAAAAAGTAAAGAACATGTTACTATCTTTCTCCTGGCTAGGCCCACCCACGTTAGTCAATATCCAGGAACCCCTTCTCCTTGTGCCTGAGCTGGTGATTTCAGGAAACTAAAGGCTGGGAGTCCTGATCTATCTTTTGGCCCAGTAACGACGTTATTCAGGACAAACATATTTCAGCTAATAATAACCTAGAATTAGTGTTTCTTAGCATATATAAAGATGGGGCATATTGCTGTTCAACACTATCAGCAATGAAACAGCAAAACAGACTAGATGTGGTGGCCCACACCTGTAATCCCAGCTCTCTGGGAGGCTAAGGCAAGTGGATCACAAGATCAGGAGTTCAAGACCAGCCTGACCAAGATGGTGAAACCCCATCTCTACTAAAAATACAAAATTAGCTGGGCGTGGTGACAGGCACCTGTAATCCCAGCTACTTGGGCGGCTGAGGCAGAGAATTGCTTGAACCGGGAGGCAGAGGTTGCAGTGGGCCAAGATCACACCGCCGTACTCCAGCCTGGGTGACAGTGAGGCTCCGTCTAAAAAAAAAAGAGCAAAACAAAAATGGGGGAGAGGGAGAAGCAGACAACCAATTGTGATCTGTTTCACTGGGAAGTTCAGGTCAGGGGCCCCTACAACTCTAGTTTAAGAGAAAGATGAAACAAAGACACTCCCAGCTAGCAGGCTTCTAACCCTTTTCCAGCCCCAGCCTCCTCTCAGGGCAGCTCCTCGGCAGAACACTATTCCTGATTTCCCCAAGTTGCCACCATTGTGGGAAGAGCTGCCCGTTTGGAGGACTTCCTGACCAGCAGATGGCTCACTTCTCTCCAAGTAGGAGGTGCTGGGAGCTTCCAACATTCGAGCCCCTCTAATCCAAGTTCCTAAAGGAATTCAAAACTCAGGGTACAGGGCAAAAGTGTTCAAGAACAAAGGGAAAAATATTAAAGAAAAAAAAATCCATCGCCTCAGTCTAGTTTACTTCCCCCACCCCCCAAAAAACTACAATACAAATTAAAAGAAAAAGCAAACACCTTTTGATTTTATCCTTCTCTGCTCGGTGCTTAGGTTTAGTCAGTCACATTCTGCTGGACTGCCCCCTGCTGTGGCTTTCTACCCTTCTGTGCCTGTGGCAGAAAGGCCAATGCACTCATACAGTTGTTTTTTCTGCCTTTTTTTGGTAAACCAAAACAACCATTTGAAATTTCACACTACTGCAGAGACTTAGCTGGTCCCCCAAATAAAAATACTCCTTTCTTGCAAAACAATCCCCAGTTACAGTGGTGGGTCCTTCCCAGTTCACCAGAACTCTTATCATGCAGTGCACTCTTTTTCCCCACACCTGGGCTAACTACTGCCGTGAATGTAAACCACAGCAAAAAAGGGAAAAATAAAACAGTTTAGCAAAAATCTAACATTCAACTGGAGTCGGTTCCGGTACATCCACTGGGTTCCTCTTCTTTTGTTCATGCATATGAACTTGGAATGTCCACACCTGGCTTGACAGAAACAGCACAGGGGTAGCTTGGACCCAACATAGGACTGAACTTGGCAGCTTTCCTGAGCCCAGCCCAGGAAACCAGGCTGGAACAAAGGTGTCCCAGGGATTCTCTGGAGCAGCAGCAGCAGCAGCAGCAGCACCGTGTTTGTCTCCGATCTCTTGGTCTCATCACTGAGGGGAGGCCTGGAGAAACGGCAGTCAGCAGAGGAGAGGTCCCCCATCACAGTGCAGTGGTGCCAACTGGCATCTTCCTGCTGAAGACCTCTGCACAGAGGAGATGATCCCAATGTTTGGCAGTGATCCATAGAAAACCCTCTGCATGAAAGGGAACCAAAACGGAAACCCAGGACAGCTGGCTTGAGCCTTGAGCACCCCTCTTGGCAGATGGCTACTGGGGATTTTCAGAGACTAAAGGGATGGGAGTGTGCAGTAATGGAAGTGATGGGTCCTGCTGCTTCTGAAGCTCCATCTCAGCAGCCCTCTGTAGCGCCACCTCCACCAGCAGCTGGAAGCTGCTGAAGTCCTCTTTGTCCTGCTCTGGGGGTGTGGGTGGTGGCGTGTTGAAGAGTCCACCTGTGGGGCTTCCGGCCTCAGCCCTGGTCAGCAGGGTGAGTGTGCTACCAGGGGTCACCAGGGGCTTGGGGGATTCCAGCTCCCCTCGTGGGAATGGGGCTGCTGGCTTTTCCCCCTGGCCTGAGTGGAGCGGCATGGAGCACACAGACAGGGAGAGCACATTGGTGGGGGCTGGGACAGACACAGCCAGCACTGAGGGGCTGCCGCCACGGGGAAGGGCCACATCTGAGGCCTTACCCCCGCGGCGGGAAATGGTAAACTGATTAGGGTCTTTCCCGTCCTTCCGAAGCATGTCTGGGAGAAGCCGCCGCCGGGCATTGATGAACCAGTTACATATCTGGAATAAATATATAAGACTGATCAGTTTGCTCAATCAAAAACAGCTATGGGCTGGGTGCAGTGGCTTATACCTGTAATCCCAACATTTTGGGAGGCCAAGAAGGGAGGATTGCTTAAGTCCAGGAGTTCAAGACCAGCCTGGGCAACACAGGGGACCCTGTTTCTACAAAAGAAATTAGCCAGGTATAGTGGTGCATTCCTGTGGTCCCAACTACTCAGGAGGCTGAGGTGCGAAGATCACTTGAACCCAAGAGGTGGAGGCTGCAATGAGCTATGATCACACCACTGGATTCCAGATTGGGCAACAGAACAAGACCCTGTTTCAAAATAAGGCAAAACAAACAGCTATGAAGTACTTACTATTGCCAGGACCCAGGAACACAGCAGAAAACAACACAGAGGTTCATGGTGCACAGAGAGAGTTAAATAAGAACATACACCAGCCTGGCCAACATGGTGAAACCCTGTCTCTATTAAAAATATAAAAATTAGGCCGGGCGCGGTGGCTTAAGCCTGTAATCCCAGCACTTTGGGAGGCCAAGGCGGGTGGATCACGAGGTCAAGAGATCGAGACCATCCCGGTCAACATGGTGAAACCCCGTCTCTACTAAAACTACAAAAAATTAGCTGGGCATGGTGGCGCGTGTCTGTAGTCCCAGCTACTCAGGAGGCTGAGGCAGGAGAATTGCCTGAACCCAGGAGGCGGAGGTTGCGGTGAGCCGAGATCGCGCCATTGCACTCCAGCCTGGGTAACAAGAGCGAAACTCCGTCTCAAAAAAAAAAAAAAAAAATTAGCTAGGTGTGGTGGCAGGCGCCTGTAATCCCAGCTACTCAGGAGGCTGAGGCAGGAGAATAGCTTGAACCCAAGACGAGGAGGTTGCAGTGAGCCTAGATTACGCCACTGCATTCCAGCCTGGATGACAAAGCAAGTCTCAAAAAAGCAAGCAAAGAAACAAAAAAACCCCATGTGGCTGGAGCTTAGAGTGGTAACTGAAGGTTACCTCTTTGGGGGAGGATTTGCTTCTTCTTTTTTTTTTTTTTTTTTTTGAGACTGAGTCTTACTCTGTTGCCAGGCTAGAGGGCAGTGGCCCAAAGTGCTGAGATTATAGGCCTGAGCCACCGTGCCTGGCTTGGAAGAAAGTCTTTGTTTCTGAGCAGTACCAGGACTAGCAGCCTCAGTAGAACATGTATTCAACCAACATCCTCGTCTTTTTTTCTACATGCTGCTGAGAAAGCTACAACTAACTCTGACCCCATTCCCATCTAGGTGATTGTTTAGAAGCATAAAATTTCCCACCATTAAGCGGTATGCATGTGGTTTGAGGGACACCTCTAGCACCATGCCCCCATCTCTGAACTCCTGCATAGCCCCTAGCTTCGCAGCTCTCCAGTCTGACCTCTTTACTGGTTGTCAGTTCTCTTTTGAAAATGCCACAGCTGTCATTCCTGTTCTAGAAAACTGCCATTTGTTTCTTACTGTCTACAGAATCAAATCCAGACTCCAGAACCTAGACAATAAGACCCATCCCTGGCTGGGCACAGTGGCTCACACCAGTAATTCCAGCACTTTGGGAGGCCAAGGTGGGCAGATCACTTGAGCCCAGGGTTTGAGACCAGCCTGGGCAACATGGTGAAACTGTATCTCTACAAAAATACAATTAGCTCTTGTGATAATGTGTGTCTTATAGTCCCAGCTACCTAGGAGGCTGAGGTGGGAGCATCAGCTGAGACCAGGGAGGCCGAGGCTGCAGTGAGCCATCATCATGCCAGTGCATTGAGTCAGGCTGGGTGCTGTGGCTCACGCCTGCAGTCCCAGTACTTTGGGAGGCCAAGGTGGGTGGATGGTTTTTGCCCAAGAGTTCTATATCAGCCTGGGCAACATGGGAAATTCCTGTCTCTACAAAAAGTATGAAAATTAGCTAGGTATGGTGATGCATGTCTGTAGACCCAGCTACTTGGGAGGCTGAGGTGAGAGGATAAATTGAGCCCAGGAGGATGAGGCTGCAGTGAGCTGTGACTGTGCCACTATACTCCAGCTTGAGAACTTGTCTAAAAAAAAAAAAAAAGAAGCCGGGCGCGGTGGCTCAAGCCTGTAATCCCAGCACTTTGGGAGGCCGAGGCGGGTGGATCACAAGGTCAAGAGATCGAGACCATCCTGGTCAACATGGTGAAACCCTGTCTCTACTAAAAATACAAAAAATCAGCTGGGCATGGTGGCATGTGCCTGTAATCCCAGCTACTCAGGAGGCTGAGGCAGGAGAATTGCCTGAACCCAGGAGGCGGAGGTTGCGGTGAACCGAGATTGCGCCATTGCACTCCAGCCTGGGTAACAAGAGCGAAACTTCGTCTTAAAAAAAAAAAAAAAAAAAAAAAAAAAAGCCAGCCAGGCTCGGTGGCTCATGCCTGTAATCCGAGCACTTTGGGAGACTGAGATGGGCGGATCACGAGGTCAGGAGTTTGAGACCAGCCTGGCCAACACAGTGAAACACTGTCATTGCCACTAAAGCCACAAAAATTGGCCTGGTGTGGCGGCCGGCACCTGTAGCTACTCGGGAGGCTCAGGCAGGAGTTCGAACCCGGGAGACAGAGGTTGCAGCGAGCCGAGACCACGCCATTGCACTCCAGCCTGGGTGACAGAGTGAGACTCCTCTCAAAAAAAAATAAAAAGTCAAGTTAGTTAGAGCTTTTCACCTTCCTGCTGCTCTCCCTTTCAAGGCTTCTTGCTCTTTCAAATATTATTTGAGTGCCTGCCTGCTATGTTGGGCCCAGTTCTTGGTGCAGGTATGCCTTTGTGAACTAAACAGACATGCACTCTACCCTATGGAGCTTACAGTGCACCTAGTCATGGAGACTGACGATCAACAGCTAGGTGAATAACCACCAGTAAGCACCAGAAACGAAATAGGAATAAAGGGGGATGGGAGGGGTTTATAAAGATAAACTCCCATAGCTAAGGGTTCTGGAAGGCTAAGACGTAAGGATAAGGAAGAGCCATACAGAAAGCTAAGAACATTCTAGACAATTCCAAGGAAAGGCCCTGGCCGTGGAGTTCTCATCTGCACTTTTTCACCTCTATGATCCTCCAATGCAGCTGAATGAAGGGAGGAAAGAGTTGGCTTAAGGAACCAACAGCAGCAGGGAATGGTAGCTGATGAGCTCAGAGGTGGGCAGGGCTGATTACCAGGCCAGAGCACCATGGAAAACCACTTAGTGGTCTATACGGTGGCATGATTGAAATTTCACACTCTAGGTCTTTCTGGCCCCATGTCTTTTCTCCCAGCCTAGCTAACTACAGCTGGCATCTATTCCACAGGTGACTCAAAGACAGCACCAGGCCTTTGTCCTGTCAGGCTGCAAGGCTCCTAAGCAGGGCAGAACCATAGGCTTCTGCACACACACGCCAGGAGGCCTCAGTGGATGCTGGCTGAACCAAATACTGACTAGAGCTGCAGGAAAACCCTAAAGAGAGCAAGGGCTAGCCAGGCGCGGTGGCTCAAGCCTGTAATCCCAGCACTTTGGGAGGCCGAGGCGGGTGGATCACGAGGTCAAGAGATCGAGACCATCCTGGTCAACATGGTGAAACCCTGTCTCTACTAAAAATACAAAAATTCAGCTGGGCATGGTGGTGTGTGCCTGTAATCCCAGCTACTCAGGAGGCTGAGGCAGGAGAATTGCCTGAACCCAGGAGGCGGAGGTTGCGGTGAGCCGAGATCGCGCAATTGCACTCCAGCCTGGGTAACAAGAGTGAAACTCCGTCTCAAAAAAACAAAACAAAACAAAACAAAACTGTCACCCTTCCCCCACCACCACGCCTGGCTGATTTTTGTATTTTTAGCAGAGATGGGGTTTCGCTATGTTGGCCAGGCTGGTCTCAAACTCCTTACCCCTGACCTAAGGTGAGCTACTCACCTCAGCCTCCCAAAATGGTAGGATTAAAGGCATGAGCCACAGAGCCCAGCCAGCTGGGACTTTAGATGAATGCCACCAGGTATGGCTATTTTTTTTTTGGTAGAGACAATGCATTGCTCTGTTGCCCAAGTTGGTCTCGAACTCCCAGGCTCAAGCAGTCCTACCTTGGCCTCCCAAAGTGCTGGGATTACAGGTGTGGGCCGCCATGCCTGGCCTCAGTTTTTCATGTTCTTTTTTTTACCCCTACTCCAGCAAGTTCATCTCTTTGTTTACATATATGCTGTGTAGTTTTCTCTCTCATTTACAAAATAGAGATTTTGCCTACTTTTTTTTTTTTTTTTTTTTTTTTTTTGAGACAATGTCTTAGTCACTCCAGCCTGGGCTGGAGTACAGTGGCATGCTCACAGCTCCTTGTAGCCTCGACCTCCCTGGGCTTAGGCGATCCTCCCACCTTAGCTGCCTCCTGAGTATCTGGGACTTTAGGCATGCATCATCACACCTGACTAATTTTTGTATTTTTTGTAAAGATGAGGTTTCCCTATGTTGCCCAAGTTGGTCTCGATCTCCTGGGCTTAAATGATCCTCCCATCTCAGCCTCCCAGAGTGCAGGGATTTAGACCTGGTATAGACCTGTACTCATGAGCCACCACACTCCATCACTGCCCACCCTTCAAGCTCAGTTAAAACCCTTCCATCCCTTTCCTGACCCTTTGCTTTGAACATCAGGCATTAGATTTGAACTTTTTTGTTTCAGTGACCTTCAGTCTCTACTTACTGTGTAGTCCTTGGAAGGCAGGGCCTATGTCAGCCCCTTTCTCAGTCTTTCTCTCTCCCTGTCATCCGGGTTGCCTGAGTCTCCAGTCGTTCTCCAGCCCTAGCTTATTTATTTGTTTATTTATTTATTTTTGAGACGGAGTTTCACTCTTGTTACCCAGGCTGGAGTGCAATGGCGCCATCTCGGCTCACCGCAACCTCCGTCTCCTGGGTTCAGGCAATTCTCCTGCCTCAGCCTCCTGAGTCGCTGGGATTACAGGCACGCGCCACCATGCCCAGCTAATGTTTTGTATTTTTAGTAGAGACGGGGTTTCACCATGTTGACCAGGATGGTCTCGATCTCTTGACATTGTGATCCACCCGCCTCGGCCTCCCAAAGTGCTGGGATTACAGGCTTGAGCCACCGCGCCCGGCCCCAGCCTTAGCTTATTATGTGCCTCAGAGTGACACTTCCAACTGCTATTAGTCATCTCCATCCAGAGCCACTAAGTCAGCCTGTCCAAAATGAAACTCCTATCAGAGGAAGGTGGCCAGATTTGGTTAGGTGCCAAGATTTCTGACAGAAGATAAGTATGTGGTGGCAACATGGTCAAACTAAGGACTATATTTCTTTCTTCTTGACTCCCTATTTCTGTTCCTGCAGCCATTGTACTCAGAGGCCCTTAGGCTTATAGCTTTGGGTCTTCTTACCCCTTCCCCATTCAGACACTTGTCTGGTGTGCTTCCGTGTCTTAAAACATGAGTACAGGTCTAAACCAGTTAGCCATCTTTTTTTTCTTTCTGTTTGAGACAGAGTTTCGCTCTTGTTGCCCAGGCTGGAATGCAACCTCTGCCTCCCAGGTTCAGGTGACTCTCCTGCCTCAGCCTCCCGAGTAGGTAGGATTACAGGTGCCCACCACAATGCCCAGCTAATTTTTGAACTTTTAGTAGAGATGGGGTTTTACTATGTTGTCCAGGCTTGTCTTGAACCCCTGACCTCAGGTGATCCATCCACCTCGGCCTCCCAAAGTGCTGGGATTACTGGCATGAGCCACTGCCCCCCACCTAGCCATCCTGTTTCTTCTACTTGTGAGAAAGCCCATATTCTTACTGCTCACCAGACTCCTGAAGTATGAAGTATGAGCATCCTACCCCATCCCCACCTTGCTCACATAGCCTCAGAGTCTCCCTGTACTCCTCCCCTGCTGATTTATACTCTGCACCACTGCACTGCCCTCCCCTACACCAGCCCACACTTCATCCATTGAGAGGAATCAGTTCTTGCATTTTTCTACCTCAACCTTCAGAAGAGATGTGGCCCGAAATACACAGTCCCCATTAGATTAGATACAATAACTGGAAAGGGCCAGGCCCATTAGTTCATGGTCTCTTCCAAAAATACAAAAAATTATCTGGACATAGTGGCGTACGGCTGTAGTCTCAGCTACTCACGAGGCTGAGACACAAGAATTGCTTGAACCTGGGAGGCAGAGGTTGCAAAGAGCCAAGATCGCACCATAGCAAGACTGTGTCTCTAATAAGTGAATGAATGAATGCAAAGATTACAGAAGTCTTGATCACTCTATGAAAACAAGAGATCAGGAGGACAAGGATATATCACTGCTTACTGCATTCCTGCATTGTCTGTGCTCCCTTCATTCCAACTCTTACACCAGCTAAATATATTATGTGGGTCAAAGACGTTGGGGGGTACTCACAAACTGCTGGTTTCAATTCCACTCTCATTGCTGGTTGTTTTTTGTTTTTTTTTGAGATGGAGTTTTGCACTGTTGCCTGGGCTGGAGTGCAATGGTGCAATCTCAGCTCTCTGTATCCCCATCTCCCAGGTTCAAGCAATTCTCCTGCCTCAGCCTCCTGAGTAGCTGGGATTACAGGCACCCACCACCACACCCAGCTAAATTTTTATTTTTTTTTTGTATTTTTAGTAGAGACAGGGCTTTACTATGTTGGCCAGGCTGGTCTTGAACTCCTGACCTCATGATCCACCCGCCTCAGCCTCTCAAAGTGCTGGGATTACAGGCGTGAGCCACTGCACCCGGCTCATTGCTGTTCTTAGTTCCCTAATTGATGGTGTGCTGAGGGCAGGAACGGTCATCTTCACTTCTGCATCCAGTAGCAGTAATAGACGGTGGACATCCAGAAATGGTCTCCCATTGGGAGTTATACAGGGGAAATGCTATTGCCTGCTCAACTAGGCCGTGAAGCAGCAGCTTCACATGTGTTTCTCTAATAGCCACCCCCTAGCTGGAGCTATCTGGAGTCCCATGTCAGGTTCTGTTTGGTCCTGTTTGGGATGGCTCAGCAGCCATTCTGTCTTACTTCAAGAGGCTTGGGAGTATTACTTACTCTCTGTATATACTATGTATTATATATAGAGTTTTCACTCTGTTGCCCAGGCTGGAGTGCAGTGGAGCAATCTTGGCTCACTGCAACCTCTCCACCTCCAGATTCAAGCGATTCTCCTGCCTCAGCCTTCTGAATAGCTGGGATTACAGGCACCCATCACAATGCCTGGCTAGTTTTTGTATTTTTAGTAGAGATGGGGTTTCACCATGTTGTCCAGCCTGGTCTAAACTCCTGACCTCAAGTGATCTACCCACCTCAGCCTCCCAAAGTGCTGGAATTACAGGCGTGAGCCACCAAACCTGGTCCTAAGTTTTGACTGTTCTAAGCTTAGCGTTTATGTTTGGTACTTGTTCTCTCTCACTCCAGATTCTGCCTGATCAATGCAGGAGTCCTGTACCTCTACTTCAGCAATTACCTACAGATTGATGAGGAAGAATATGGTGGCACGTGGGAGCTCACGAAGGAAGGGTTTATGACCTCTTTTGCCTTGTTCATGGTATGTGTAGCTGATAGTTTTACAACAAGTACTGTTCATTTCATGAGGTGTCACTAACAAGAAGGGACTTCACTGATTGAGTTACACTATGCGATCAGGGTGCAATTTTTCTAAAGGCTTCTGAGGCTCAGGGCCATGGCCTGTGTTGAACCATATTCCAGAAGATGTGGTGTGATACACTGTACAGTTCTTTAATGTGTAAATCCAGGGCCCATCGTTAGCTTCTACATCTGATTCTCAACCCTGGCTCCATATTAGAAACTAAGAGAGCCGGCCAGGTGCGATGACTCAGGCCTGTAATCCCAGCACTTTGGGAGGCCAAGACGGGTGGATCACAAGGTCAGGAGATGGAGACCATCCCAGCTAACATGGTGAAACCCTGTCTCTACTAAGAATACAGAAAATTAGCCGAGCACACGCCTATAGTCCCAGCTACTCCAGAGGCTAAGGCAGGAGAATCGCTTGAACTGGGAGGCAGAGGTTGCAATGAGCTGAGATCTTGCCACTGCACTCCAGCCTGGGCGACAGAGCAAGACTCCGTCTCAGGAAAAAAAAAAAAAAAACTAGGAGAGCCTGGCATGGTGGCTCACGCCTGTAATCCCAGCACTTTGGGAGGCCAAAGCGGGTGGATCACCTGAGGTCAGGAGTTCAAGACCAGTCTGGCCAACATGGTGAAACCCTGTCTCTAAAAATACAAAAAAAATTAGCTGGGCTAGCTGGCATGGTGGCAGGCACCTGTAATCCCAGCGGGGGAGGCTGAGGCAGGAGAATTGCTTGAACCCGGGAGGTGGAGGTTGCAGTGAGCCGAGATCATGCCCTTGGCACTCCAGCCTGGACAACAAGAGTAAAACTCCAACTGAAAAAAAAAGAAACTAGGAAATAGTTTTCATAATAGCTAAAAAGTACAAACAATCCAAATGGCCATCACTGATGAATGGATAAATAAGTACTATATATCCATACAGTAGGATGTTATTTGGCCTTAAAAGGGAATGAAGTACTGATAAGTGCTATATAACACGGATGAACCTTGAAACATTATGCTAAGTGGAAGAATCCAGACACAAAAGGCCACATATTGTGTGATGCCATATTCAAAATGTCCACAGTGAGCAAATCTATAGAGGCAAAAAGTAGATTAGTGGTTGCCAGTGGCTGGGAAGAAGAGTAGCTGATAAAGGAAACAGGCTCTTTTTGGAGTAATGTTTTGGAATCAGTGGCGATGTTTGCACAACCGTGTCCACACAGAAAACCTCTGAAATGTGCACTTTATTTGACCCAAGGTCTCACTCTTTCACCCAGGTTGGAGTGCAGTGGCGCTATCTTGGCTCTCTGCAACCTCTGCCTCCCAGGTTTAAGCAAGTCTCCTGCCTCAGGCCTCCTGAGTAGCTGGGACTACAGATGCAAGCCACCATGCCCAGCTAATTTTTTTTTTTTTTTTTTTTTTTTTTAGTAGAGATGAGGTTTCACCATGTTGCCCAAGCTGATCTTGAACTCTTGACCTCAAGTGATCCACTTACTTCAGTCTCCCAACGTGCTGGGACTACAGGCATGAGCCACCATGCCTGGCTTTTTTTTTTTTTTTTTCCCGTATTTTTAGTTGAAACGAGGTTTCACCATGTTGGCCAGGCTGGTCTTGAATTCCTGACCTCAAGTGATCTGCCTGCTTCTGCCTACCAAAGTGCTGGGATTACAGGTGTGAGCCACCGCATCTGACTCATTTTTCTTTTCTTAATTATACTTATGGCCTGGCATGGTGGCTCATGCCTGTAATTACAGCACTTCAGGAGGCTGAGGCAGACAGACTGCTTGAGTCCAGGAGTTTGAGACCAGCCTGGGCAACACGGTGAAACTCATTTCTACAGGAAAAAAAAAATTAGTCAGGTGTGGTGGTATGCACCTGCTGAATCCCAGCAGGACTCAAAAAGAAAAAAAAAAAAAGACACCTTATGTGTCCAGACTCTAACCTAAGCCAATAAAATCTTTCACACTGGTAGCTGTAGCACCTGCTAGCAGTGTAGTGTGCTTTACTTGAACCACTTCCACATCTGAACCTCAACTCCCTGGGCCTGGGGTTGCCATTTGGTAGGGGAGGAGCTTATCCTCTGCAAGTGCAGGTGGGCAGTCCTGGCCTCTGTTAGTGACAGCTTGATTTCATTGAAATAATTTAAACCCCTCAAGCAGATTGTGCAGTGAATAGCCCCTGGAGAGTGCCCTGTGAATACATTCTCATCTGGCATTTTTGTTTTGTGGAATCGGCCTGTGTTAACCCAGGTGACCTATGAACCATCCTTGTCTCCTCACTAGGTCATTTGGATCATCTTTTACACTGCCATCCATTATGACTGATGGTGTACAGCTCCCACCTGCTCCCTGTCCAGTCCAAAGGACCCTCTTGATAACAGCACAGAAACTTGATCACTGGGGAACCCCAGCCCCTTGGAACTTGGAAGACCCGTGTTTCCTGGACCGCGAATCAGTGTATTGGGTGTCAGTGTTTTCTGCAAGGGTTGTGACCTGAAACTTTTTAAAAAACCACCCACCTTTGGGGAAGCATTTCTGAATTTATCCATCACCATTTCTTCTTGGATACCATCAAGTAACAGCTGTTTGCCGAGTGGAGCTGTCATTTAATTTGATGCATCTCCGGATTCAGATGAAACATTAAATTGTCTTCCTCGATTCTCCATCAGCTGTACAGTTTTTAAACTATCAGTGGCATTTCAAGTCTTCTGAAACAGCATGGCTGTATGTGCATGGTCCATAGCACAGTACAGGCAGCATCTAACAACAGTTTTCATTGTAGAATGTTTTCAGATACTTGAATAAATCAGATCTTTAATTGAGAACCTGTTGATGATAACTGAAAAAGCCTTTTCTATCCTGCCTGTAGCTTGGGAACCCAGTAGGAGCACTAGAGGTGGTGCCTCTTACCCTTGTCCCTCTTTCTTCCTCTCCCTGTTCCCTTAGCAGATCCAGCAGACCTCTTGCTCTTTATGGGAGCAGTAGGAAAATCAAGGGCTGCGTTTGGTGTAGGCTATGGCCTCAGTCTTGGCATTGTGGAGAGAGGTCTTAGCATCTTCTGATGCCCCTGCCCAGCACTGAGAAAGGTGGCCTCTCTGCAGTGTGCTAGACCTAAGAGGTGTTATTTTGTATTTGGCCACAAGATGGCAAGGCCAGTGTGTTAGGGAATGGTAAGCCACAAAATGAAATACAGATCTGATGCCGGGCGCGGTGGCTCACGCCTGTAATCCCAGCACTTTGGGAGGCCGAAGCGGGTGGATCACGAGGTCAAGAGATCGAGACCATCCTGGTCAACATGGTGAAACCCCGTCTCTACTAAAAATACAGAAAATCAGCTGGGCATGGTGGCGCATGCCTGTAATCCCAGCTACTCAGGAGGCTGAGGCAGGAGAATTGCCTGAACCCAGGATGCAGAGGTTGCGGTGAGCCGAGATCGCGCCATTGCACTCCAGCCTGGGCAAGGAGAGCGAAACTCCGTCTCAAAAAAAAAAAAAAAAAAAAAAAATACAAATCTGAGAGCTAAACTGGGTGCAGTGGCTCACACCTATAATCCCAGCACTTGAGGAGGCCAAGGTGGACAGCTCAGTTGAAGTCAGGAGTTTGAAACCATTGTGGCCAACATGGTGAAAACCTGTCTCTACTAAAAATACAAAAAAATTAGCTAGGCATGGTGGCGTGGGCCTATAATCCCAGCTACTCAGGAGGCTGAGGCAGGAGAATTGCTTGAACCCAGGAGGCAGAGGTTGCAGTCAGCCAGGATCACGCCATTGCATTCTAGCCTGGGCAACAGAGCAAGACTTTGTCTCAAAAAAAAAAAAAAAAAAAACTGAGTGCTGGGGCTGTTGTCCTCAGTGGGGGACATTTGAAGACCTAGACTGTCAGAAGTCTTTCCCTTTGCTCTGGGGGTCACGCAGAGGCTGGACCACCCAAGGTCTGCTGCTATGGTAAGACATCATCTCAGCTTTCCCTTCTAGGCCACGGTCCGACCTGCTGCAGTGTGGTGGTGGTCTCAACGGCACTTGTAAATTTTCTGAAAATGATTTTCTCATTGATGCTAGGGTTTGTTTCTACTTTGCGGGTGGGGCCTGCTTAACGGTGGGGATGTGGAATGGGACTCAACATCCAGATGGTTCTGGCAACCCCAAACTCAAGAACTGGCCGGGCACGGTGGCTCAAGCCTGTGATCCCAGCACTTTGGGAGGCCGAGGCGGGTGGATCACGAGGTCAAGAGATCGAGACCATCCTGGTCAACATGGTGAAACCCCGTCTCTACTAAAAATACAAAAAATTAGCTGGACATGGTGGTGCGTGCCTGTAATCCCAGCTACTCAGGAGGCTGAGGCAGGAGAATTGCCTGAACCCAGGAGGCGGAGGTTGCGGTGAGCCGAGATTGCGCCATTGCACTCCAGCCTGGGTAACATGAGCGAAACTCCGTCTCAAAAAAAAAAAAACTCAAGAACTAGCTGGGTCATACCCCCAGGAGGCTTACTCTCTTTTTGGAACCCTGGCCCTGCTCTCAACTTTTCTGCACTCAGACTAGAGGTTGCAGGTGGGATCACAGCACAGGGAAGAGGAAGGTGACTTCCTAAGGCCAAAGGAGGAAAGAGCAAGGTACAGGTAGGACCCTGGATGCCCCTCTGTGTCCCAGCCCTCCCTCACTTGAGTGCATAGCCTTGCCTCTAGCATGCACAGGAGGTTGGACTGAACTGGGGTTCTAGGTGCTACAGCCTTGGTTTCCCTTTCTGCCTCTCCTTTGGTCCTAGGCATCATCCAAAGAGACGGCCTCCTCAGTCAGGCTGATGTAGGAGCTAAGTGACTCCCGGAGACCCTCACTGAGAAGAGATTCCTCCCCTGTGGCAACTTCAGAAAACAGGAGGGAGCTGTGGACAAAGGAAGAGAACTAGGTCAAGGAGCCATTTTCTCCTTCCTGCATTCACTACACACAAAAGTGCACTGTTCTCAAAACCTCTCACTCCTGCTGAAGACCTCACGGGGCTCCCCTGTTCCCTGTCAGATCAGCTCCCCCAGCCCCACCTGGCGAGCCTGGGCTGGGCTCCAGGAATTAAGTCAGTGCCCTCTGGCTCTGGCTCCCAGGTATCCCTGAATATGACAGGTGCATTCTGGGTTGTGGGTTCCCAGGGGTGGGTCCTTCTAACTCTTGGTCCCACTTTCATGTTTCCAGGAGTTCCCCCACTTTACCTGTCCAGCTCTTTCCAGTTGAGTGGTGTCCTCTGCACAGTCACAGGGAGGGGCATGTCCTTGCCAGGGAGCTGGCTAGCCCTCTGCAGGACACAGGGCTCCTTGAGGAGGCAGCAGATGTCTTCCGCCAGCTCTGAGGAAGAGACCCCCATCCCTGACGTGGCCGACTCACCCTGCTTCTCCTCAACAGCCCTCACCCTGACAGCCCTCTACACGTGGCAGGAGGGGGCACAGCTACCAAAGAGGGACAGGACATGAGCCCCAAGCTGTTGCTTTCATGGAGACAGATAATAGTCAAAGGTCTTTCTGGGCTAATTTTGGGAAACAATCCACTGTATGATTTAGGGTGAGTTAATGGACCTCTTGAGCCCAAGTTCTGGTTAGAAAAGTGCTTTGGGAAGGAAAAAGCTAAGGAATGCCCAGTCTCTACTTCCACTGCCAGTGCCTGCTCCCGCAGGGAGTGACCTACAGAAAATCCCCATGAGTTTGCCCAGGAGTGCTCTTCACTCTCTGTCCCCTGATGCTGTACCTAGTGACTGCATCTTCTGGTGTCTGTAAAAGGACAGGATCAGGAAGTGCTAAGGAGAGTCAGGATCAAATACCACCCAGCCACAGCTCTGGGCCTGGTTCCTGTGGAGAGAACTCCTGCTGCCAGGGGCTCTGAATCGGAACCAGAGTGGTAGGCAAGGTACTGACCCGAGCCTATAGAGGATATCTGTGGCTTTTCTGCCAGGGCATGAAGTAAAGACAGGGCTCCCAGCCTGCATTTCTTGGCACAGGGCCTGGCATGAAAATAGGGGAGGCCTCTCTTCTGTTTGTTTGAATACTCCATAGCAGGTAAAATATACAAGAGCACAACTGCCTGCTCCTCCCCATAGTCTATCCTAGCCTACTCCTGGAGGCAGAGAAAGGCCATACCAGAGTAATGGTCCACCAGGGCCTGGAGTGAGGGGAAGGTGAGGCGCGGTGAGATGTACAGCCAGCCATTGTCAAGGCACTGGATCCTGTAGTGTCTGATCCGGTCCCAGGAAGCAGGGCGGCTGAGGCGGACTGACAGGGAGTAACAGCCTGAGGAGAGAGGGGTCCACGGTGACACCAAGGCCCTGCTGGGACTCAACACCACCCAGGTTGGGTAACAAAGATAGGAAACATGGCCACAGGGCCCCAGCAGAAAGGAAGTGTCTGGGGCAGAAGCAGGATAAAAGACTTGCTCTCTTGGTCATCAATAACGCGTTCATAATAGATGGGGATCTTGTGAGGCTGAAATCATACACACAGAGCCCTCAGCACAGAGTCTGGCACCGTGTACTTGAACATTCAGTGTTGGCTATTCTTACAAAGACTCAGGTGGCAGAAGTGTTAGGATGTGAAAACATTGTCAGTAGATGCCGGCAAGGAAGTGGAGAAGTAGGAGCTCCCAGCCTGCTGGTGGAAGAGATTCGCACAAGCCACCTTGGAGATAGTTTGGCATTAACTAGATGAGCTGAACATGCACGCACCCTACAACCCAGCAGTTCTACCCAGGCACATTACCTTAGAGGCACACGAACAAGGATGTTCATGGCAGCATTGTTTGTAAAAGTCAAAATGGCAAACAGCCCATTTGAGCTCAAGAGTAGAATAAATTATGGACTATAGAGTGTAATACTATACAGCAGTAAAAATAACTGCTACATACATAGGCACAAGTAAATCTTGGAAATAATAAGCAGAACAACATTACAGAACATACATTCGGCTGGATTCTATTTAAAGTTCAAAGACAGCCAAGATGACATATGTTTTACAGGGACACACGGCAAAGCTCTGAAGAAAAGCAACTGAATGATTAACACAGTGAAATATGAGAGGGGGCTACAAAGCGTTTGTTAGGCAATTTCCACTGGCAAGTGGGCACGTGGATGTTATTTTTATTTTTATTTTATTTATTTATTTTTTGAGATGAAGTCTTGCTTTGTTGCCAGGCTGGAGTGCAATGGCGTGATCTCTGCTCACTGCAACCTCTGCCTCCTGGCTTCAAGTGATTCCCCTGCCTCAGCCTCCTGAGTAGCTAGGATTATAGGCATGTGCCACCACACCCAGCTAATGTTTTGTGTTTTAGTACAGATGGGGTTTCACCATGTTGGCCAGGATGGTCTATATCTCCTGACCTCATGATCCATCCGCCTCAGCCTCCCAAAGTGCTGGGATTACAGGCATGAGCCATTGTGCCCACCCTACTTTTATTATTGTTTTTATTTTTATTATTAATTTTAGCAATTATAGTGAACAATAGCAATCAAATTATAGACCCATGAAAGGGGCAGTTTTGGTAGAAGAAGCTTGAGCAGTCCCTCTGGTGGTGCCTATGGATCTGGTGTTGAAAGTGGTAGCTACAGGCCAGGCGTGGTGGCTCACGCCTGTAATCCCAACATTTTGGGAGGCGGAGGTGGGTGGATCACGAGGTCAGGAGTTTGAGACCAGCCTGGCCAAGGTGGTAAAACCCTGTCTCTACTAAAAATACAAAAATTAGCTGGGTGCAGTGGCAAGTGCCTGTAGACCCAGCTACTTGGGAGACTGAGGCAGGAGAATCGCTTGAACCTGTGAGGCAAAGGTTTCAGTGAACTGAGACTGTGCCACTGCACTCTAACCTGGGTGACAGAGTGAGACTCCATCTCAAAAACAAAAAACAAACAAAAAAAAACTGAACATCACTTGATTAATGATAAGGATATATAAAATTAAAATTTATTTTAAAAATAAGAACTGGGCCAGGTGCGGTGGCTCACACGTGTAATCCCAGCACTTTGGGAGGCCGAGGCTGGTGGATCACCTGAGGTTGGGAGTTCAAGACCAGCCTGACTAACATGGAGAAACCTCATCTCTACTAAAAATATAAAATTAGCCAGGCCTGGTGATGTATGCCTATAATCCCAGCTACTTGGGAGGCTGAGGCAGGAGAATCACTTGAACCCGGGAGGTGGATGTTGCAGTGAGCTGAGATCACACCACTGCACTCCAGCCTGGGCAACAGAGTGAGATTCTGTCTCAAACAACAACAACAACAAAAAAAACCATGATCGCCTGAAAAAAATGCAGAAAAATCATTTGAAAAAATTCAACACCCCTCATGATTAAAAAAACAAAAGCAGAAAACGATGAATAGAGTGTGTTAGTTTCCTATTGCTGCTGTAATAAGTTACCATCAATTTAGCAGCTTAAAATAACACGCAGTATTCTTTTACAGTTCTGGAGGTTAGAAGTCTGAAAAGAGAGGCCGGGCGCGGTGGCTCACGCCTGTAATCCCAGCACTTTGGGAGGCCGAGGCGGGTGGATCACGAGGTCAACAGATCGAGACCATCCTGGTCAACATGGTGAAACCCCGTCTCTACTAAAACTACAAAAAATCAGCTGGGCATGGTGGCGCGTGCCTGTAATCCCAGCTACTCAGGAGGCTGAGGCAGGAGAATTGCCTGAACCCAGGAGGCGAGGTTGCGGTGAGCCGAGATCGCGCCATTGCACTCCAGCCTGGGTAACAAGAGCGAAACTCTGTCTCAAAAAAAAAAAAAAAAAAAGCAGAGAAATATAAATAGAGTTTCTCTGGACAAAAATCAAGTGATTTTTGTCCAAAAATCAAAAATCAAGATGTCAGCGGGGCAGTGTTCCTTTTGCAGGCTCTAGAGAAGAATCCATTTTCTTTTCTTTTTGTTTCTAGAAGCCATAGGCATCCCTCTGCTCATGGCTCCTTCCTCAGTCTCCACAGCCAGTAGCATCTTCCTGCCTCTAACTCTAACCTTCCTGCCTCCCTCTCATAAGCATCCTGGTGATTCTACTGGGTCCAACTGGACAATCCAAAATAATCTTCCCACCTCAAAATCCTTAATCACATCTGCAAACTCTTTTTGCAATGTAAGGTAACATATTCACAGGTACTGCGGATTAGGACCTGAACATTCTTGGGGGATGATTATTCTGTCTACCACGGAAGAATACCTGATATACAGCATCTGTGAAAAATCTACAACTAAGGCCAGGTGCAGTGGCTCACCCCTCTCATCCCAACACTTTGAGAGGCTGAGGCAGGCAGATCACCTGAGGCCAGGAGTTGGAGACCAGCCTGGCCAACATGGTAAAACCCCATCTCTACAAAAACAGAAAAATTAGCTGGGCATGATGGTGTGCACTTATAATCTCAGCTACTTAGGAGGCTGAGGCAGGAGTATTGTTTGAACCCAGGAGGCAGAGGTTGCAGTGAGCTGAGATTGGGCCATTGCACTCCAGCCTGGGAGACAGAGCAACACTATGTCTAAAGCAGAACAAAACAAATCTACAACTCACATACTTAATGGGAAAGATTGATTATTTTCCTTCTAAGATTGGGAACAAAGCAATAATGTTCTTACCATTCGTACTCAATGTTGTACTAAAGGTTCTAACAAGTGCAAGAAAAAGAAAAGAAAAAGAAACTAAAAGTATATGGACTGGAAAAGACACAATACAACTGCCTTTACTTACAGATAATACAATCATATGTAGATAATCCTAAGGAATCTGTCAAAAAGCTACTAGAACTAAAAAGTTAATTTAACAAGGTGACCTAGAGTCAATATGCTTTGAGAAGATATTGACACCAGTAGGGTCTCTGCTTCCTTTTGTTATTTTTGCCTGATTGGGAGCCCTTTGACCTTTGAACTTTTTTTTTTTTTGCAACACAGTTTCGCTCTTGCTGCCCAGGCTGGAGTGCAATGGCGCAAACACGGCTCACCACAACCTCCACTTCCTGGGTTCAAATGATTCTCCTGCCTCAGCCTCCTGAGTAGCTGGGATTATAGGCACCCGCCACCAAACCTGGCTAATTTTATATTTTTAGTAGACAGGGTTTCTCGTTGGTCAGGATGGTCTTGAACTCCCAACCTCGGGTGATCCGCCCACCTCCGCCTCCCAAAGTGCTGGGATTATAGGCGTGTGCCACCGTGCCCGGACTTTTTTTTTTTTTTTTTTTAGACAGAGTTTCGCTCTTGTTACCCAGGCTGGAGTGCAATGGCACGATCTCGGCTCACCGCAACCTCCTCCTCCTGGGTTCAGGCAATTCTCCTGCCTCAGCCTCCTGAGTAGCTGGGATTACAGGCACGTGCCACCATGCCCAGCTGATTTTTTGTAGTTTTAGTAGAGACGGGGTTTCACCATGTTGACCAGGATGGTCTCGATCTCTTGACCTCGTGATCCACCCTCCTCGGCCTCCCACAGTGCTGGGATTACAGGCTTGAGCCACTGCGCCCGGCCGTGCCCGGACTTTTAAAAAATTTTTTTAGAGACAGTTTGACTATTGCTCAGGCAGGCCTCAAAATCCTGGGCTCAAGTGATCCTGTTGCCTCAGCCTCCCAAGTAGCTGGGACATAGGTGTACACTACAATGCCGGCTTGTATTCTATACGTTTGAGAAGAGTCTCTTCTTGAGCTGTGCTGTAACCTTGAAAAAACGCTGGTTGGGAATGGGCTAAATATTTGAAAATAGGCCCAGAAGGCCAACCAACCCAGCTGAACTAGTGACCAAGACCTTATATCTTTTTTTTTTTTTTTTTGGGACGGAGTTTCGCTCTTGTTACCCAGGCTGGAGTGCAATGGCGCGATCTCAGCTCACCGCAGCCTCCGCCTCCTGGGTTCAGGCAATTCTCCTGCCTCAGCCTCCTGAGTAGCTGGGATTACAGGCACACGCCACCATGCCCAGCTAATTTTTTGTATTTTTAGTAGAGACGGGGTTTCACCGTGTTGACCAGGATGGTCTCGATCTTTTGACCTCGTGATCCACCCGCCTCGGCCTCCCACAGTGCTGGGATTACAGGCTTAAGCCACCGCGCCCGGCCCAAGACCTTATATCTTTTGCAAGGTTCTTCAACCACCCTACCCTGGCCACTGTCACAACATTATTAGAATCAGAATGGGTAGCTACACTTGGGATCTGGTTGTTGATCTCAGGGATAAGAGGTCCTCGGGATAAGAGGTCCATCCCTGATTGGTTCCTTTCTCTCAGCCTCACATCCAACCCAACAAAAAGCCCTATTTGGTATGGTCACAACAGAGCCAAGAGCC